TCAGTGGCCAACTACTCCTCTTCCTTCCAGGCCTCAGCTCATACATACATCACTTCCTCCAGGATATCTCCCCTGACTCCCTCCAGTGATCGATCTCCCTAGTCACACTCTAACGGCACCTGTACTTCTTTGTAGCACTTATCACAGTTATGACTTATTATTCAGTATCTGTCTCCTTCAACATATGTGTGAGACCAGCAACCACTTTAAATTGTTCATTTAATGCCTTTCAAAGACCTGGCATTTAGCAGAAGTTCAAAATGTATTTGTAGGGTGAATAAATCAATACACAAATGAATATCCTCTAAAGGGTAAAGAATAATTCATTAATGAAATAATGTGAGGATTCCTACTTAAAAGGTATTTCAAAGAAAAAAATTAATGTATTTTTTATTATAAAAATAATACAAATTCTCTATAGAAAAATCTGGAAAATCCAGATAAAACAAAGAAGAAAATAAATATTACCTTACCTACCTTATGTCCCAGAGGTAATCATTGCTACTTATCTTGGTATATTTTTTCTTGTCCTTTTTGTGTGTTTGTATGCATGTGTGTGTGCACATTTATTAGAGAAATAAAATACCCCACTGTAATAATATGTACACAATTTTGTTTATGTTATACTATTTACTTATGCCCATATTGTAGGTAATCCTCATTTAGAATATATTTTGATAAATCTCTCGTAGCATCTTGGATTTTTATTAGGATTAATTAATAAAAGTAGAAATACTATGTGAACGTGAAAAAATATGAATTAGAAAATAGATTAAAGTAGTACATGTACCACCATAAACTATGCAAGAAAGACAACTTACTTTTTCTGTAACAACTTAATATTTTCAAATTTTCATTCTGCTTGGGTGCAGAAACTCTCAGATTTCTATAAGCAGATACAAATCTCAGTCCAGAAAGGTAGGTGTTCAAGAAATAAAACATTTTTTTTTCAGAATTCATCTTGATTTCTATTTCATTCCATTGAGATAGCCCACCTGGAGCCATGATACAGTTAGCTTAGATAGTGCTGAAGCATTTGGGAAGAACATCTGGCCTTTGATACCAAATGTCTCTGCAGGCATATAATCATCCTCTCATGTTCTTGGTCATTGGTCCTCACTGCCAAGAATTCTCTCATTTTTGTCTGTATGTGCTTCTTAGGTCCAATGGCTTCTTTCCCAACTTCACTGCCACCATGAGGGAACAGGAAATCATTCTGCTGGTTTTTTATACATACTACAACTTGGAAATCTCTGCAAGTCAGTTTCTGAGTATGGGCAGAACCTGTGAATATGATTTATCACTTTTATGAACATATTACATTACATGGCAAAGGGAGATTATCCATATAGGTCTAATCCCATCACACGAGCTCTTTAAAAAACAGTTTTCTTTGGCAGTTGGAAGAATAGGAAGTCAGAGATTTCAATCATGAGAAGGACTCAAAGTAGTAAGAAAGCGGACTCTGGCTCATAGCCAGCAAAGAAATGCGGGTCTCAGTCCTAAAACTGCAAGGAAAAGGATCCTATCAATAATCTGGGCCGGACATGGTGGCTCATACCTGTAATCGTAGCACTTAGGGAGGCTGAGGCAGGAGGGTTGCTTGAGCTCAGGAGTTCGAGACCAGCCTGAGCAAGAGCAAGACTCCGTCTCTATTAAAAATATAAAGAAATTAGCCAAACAACTAAAAATAGAAAAAATTAGCCGGGCATGGCGGCACATGCCTGTAGTCCCAGCTACCCTGGGAGGCTGAGGCAGGAGGATTGCTTGAGCCCAGGAGTTTGAGGTTGCTGTGAACTAGGCTGATGACAAGGCACTCTAGCCCAGGCAAGAGAGTGAGGCTCTGTCTCAAAAAAAAAAAAAAAATCTGAATGAGCTGTGTCAAAAATAAAATCAGACCAAAAATTTTTTTAAAAATTTAAAGTTTATCGTGGATACTAAGAACTGTTTAAAAACTGGGAGACTTTTAACCAAAAGTGATAAGATGCCCGCTCAACTCACAGCAATTACAGTGTAGCTTATAAAACATAAAGGAAGAAGCATTTTGACCTTTTTCATAATTGGCTGTTATATATTAACATTCTTTTAAGGCAAGCAGAGCTGTTTAAGCTGATTTGTCTGTAGCTGATTGGCTTACTTTCATTGAATCATGCTGACAGAGATATTTTGTGGTTTGTTTATGACTAGAGCAGTGTTGCAGGGAAATCAGGATGACTTAATTATTCGTTACATGGCTATAGATGGGTGGTTGGTCTTGGGGTATCTAAAGTGGGGTCTCCGTTTTTATTTATCATTAGCATGTGGAAGCAGATTCTTTCCAGAGTTTCCAGATAAGAGCCCACGTTGGCAGACACCTTGATTTCAGTCTTATTATATACTCTGAACAGTGAACCCAGCCAAACCCGCCCAGACTTCTGACCTATAGAATTGTAACATAATAAATGAGCGGTGTTTTCAACTGCTGAGTTTGTGGTAATTTGTTACACAGCAATAGAGAAGTACAAGTTGCACATCCCAAATCCAAATATCCAAAACTGAAATGCTCCAAAATCTTAAGCCTTTTTGAGCTCTGACAAGATGCTCAAAGGATGTGCTCATTGGAGCATTTCAAATTTTGGATTTTTGGATTTAGGATGCTCAACCAGTAAGACGCAAACATTCCCAAATGTGAAACAATACAAAATCTGAAACACTTGGTACCAAGCATTTTGGAAAAGGGATACTCAACCTGTAATAGAAAGGGATTATGTGAAGGGATGATTACCAAGAAGCAAGAATCAGGTGGACCACCTTAGATCTCTTTATCCCAGGAGTCCAGCCAGGATCAGCAGAGGCCTGCCCAGATCAGCAGAGCTACCCAGTTAGATCACAGAATTATGAGCAATAATAATAAATAATTGTTGTCTTAAGCCACTGAAATTTAGACTGGTTTGCTATGCAGTTAAAGCTAATTGTTATAGAATTATAGATCAATTCCTCTTAAATGAAAAGCCCCATCCTACTTCCAAAGATAGTGACGGATATATTAATAGAAAGAACATGGGATCTGAACTTGAGCCCGTCACTTTATATTTACCATTTACTGAGTACTTATTTATTAGTGCTGTGGTAGGAGCTCTGTATTCAGAATCTAATTTAAACCATACAACTCTCACCACATGTACTCATCAGCAAATTGGTATTAATGGAACAACACCTAAGTGTACATATAGGAGTAACATTTATCGGGTGTCGGGAGGGTGGGAGGGGACAGGAGGGAATGGGTGTATACACCCACAACGAGTAAGATGTGCAACGTTTGGGGGATGGACATGCTTGAAGCTTTTACTCGAGGGGGGAGGGGGGCATGGACAATATAAGTAACCTTAATACTTGTACCCCCATAATACACTAAAAAAAAAAAACATACAACTCTAAGGTAGGTATTTCTAAGACTCTGATTCTATGCTATATTTTTATTTTGTTGAGTTAGGTAACCTAACATTCACCATTCTATCCTCACCTCTCTTGTCCTTAAAAGGGCTTTGATTATATATTACTTAACTCATGAGATTACACTGCTCTGTAAACTGTGAACTCTTGTGTAAATATTAGAAATCATTACCAGCAGTGGAGGGATTCAGTTTTCACACATCATTTGCCACTGAAACTCATCTACTGTAACTTTCACAACACATACTGTATCTACATAACACATACTATATCTACATATATATTGACACTTGGTTTCTGAGAGTCAGCACTCACAACCCTCCATGTTTGATCAAGATACACCAATTAACCCTGAAAGAAGCATGAAGAAAATCTAACTCACAGGTTAATGATAAGTTCTGGTTTTGGAATTGGGGAAGGAGAGATAATACTTTTGAGGGCCTTTATGTTTCAGGCACCATGCTAGATGGTTAACTTTCATGGGTTGATTATGACTGAATTTGTTTGCACTAGATGTGGAGCCTGGGCCATTTCAAAAGTGTATCAGGTAATTGTACTGTGTATCTATGGTTGAGAATTACTGACAAAAACCCCATTAATTCTTGCAAAAATCCTCTAATATAGGTTTTTTATTCATTTATAGTAAAGAGACAGGTGCCCACAAACATTAACTAACTTTCCTAAGGTGATACATCTAGAAAACCCAAGTTTTTTTCCACTTCACCAAAATGACACATTTCTTGATCAGAGGAAACAATCGCTCTCACCAGATCAAGGGAGATGCTAAACCTACAGGAAAAACTGAAGGTTCCTACTTAATAATCAAATGCCCTCATTTGACCCTGTTACATCAGTTCTTGTTGGTCTCTTCACTGAATTTCAATAACATGAATAACTGGCTTATTTTGATGGCAGTCATACTCTACCTTACCTTATATTTGTACCTATATTTATCAAGGCCTCCCTGTATGTTTCCTAGTTGCTAAACCCGGTGACGTGGCAGGCAAATCATGATAAGAGCCCTGGTTTTGGAGCCAGACCCACATGGATTGGCCTTCTGCATGTGCTTAGCTGTGTGGCGATGACAAGGCATTTTATTCTTTGAATTTCAGTTTTGCAAGCATAAAAAAGGGAAAAATAAAGCCTGTATTTCAGTAAGGTTTAGGAACACTACATTCAATAAATCACAGCTATTTGTATACCCTCCCTCACCAATGGAAATAAAGTGTGTGGTGCAGCAGGAAACATGGAAAGCAGTAAGGTGAGTTCGATCTTTGGAGTGGATTCCTTTTCCTAACTCAAATGTCTCTACATTTGGGGAGAAGATAGAAAAGAGTAAGGAACCATGAAATCTAGCTGAGGTTGGCACTTCAGTCCCTCCCAACAGGTTTCCAGAAAGTTATTCACACATGATACACCAGCCAACTCAGGAAATCCCACCCTGCCTCACGTCCTTGCCCTATGACCAGGTCTCTACTCCAAGCTCAGCCCCTGCATTTAGGGGAGGAGTTGCGGACTTCTTTTTATAATGGATTGGTTTACCAAGGGGAGGGCAAGTCTGAGAGGCTCCACCCATTTCACGGGAGGCCTGGTGAGGGCGCTCCCCTTTCCCCTCCCGGCTGGACCAGCGGGGAGGTGGGCCGGCGGTGGCGGAGGGAGGGCCGGGTCCCCAGTCCCTTTAAGGAGGAGGGCCGAGCGCGGCGGCCAGGAGAGCGGCGTAGCCCCCGCCCGCCCGCCCGCGCCCTCACCCCAGAGCAGCTGCAGCCCTAGCCGTGGCCGCCCGCCGCCAGCAGTGTCCGCTCCGGCCCCAGGCACAGAGTCGCCACCATGGTGAAGATCGTGACTGTTAAGACCCAGGCGTACCCGGACCAGAAGCCGGGCACGAGCGGGCTGCGGAAGCGGGTGAAGGTGTTCCAGAGCAGCGCCAACTACGCGGAGAACTTCATCCAGAGTATCATCTCCACGGTGGAGCCGGCGCTGCGGCAGGAGGCCACCCTGGTGGTGGGCGGGGACGGCAGGTTCTATATGAAGGAGGCCATCCAGCTCATCGCCCAAATCGCCGCCGCCAACGGGGTAAGGGACGCGCCGGCCCCTCCGCGGCGTGCGCCCCCGGCGCGTGCGCGACGTGCGGCCCGTGCGCCCTGCTAGCTCCGGGCCGGGCCACTTCCGTGCGCCTGTCCCAGTCTCCACCTCCCGCTCCTCTGCGCTCGCACTTCTGGCCTGGGGGCCCGACGGAGTCGCCGTGTGAGGGGAATTGGCCACGGGGCCTGCTGAGCTGCTCGCCTGACTCCCAGCCGGCGGGGAGGTGTGGGAGCCGCACTTGACCTTGGGAGGCCCGCCCGACCCTCCTCCTCTCGCTCCTCCCCTCGCTCCTCTCCTCCGTCCCCTTTCCCCTCCTTCCCCTCCCCTCCCGAGGCCTCTGACATTTACATTAACCTTTGCTGCCTCTGAAGATACTGTTGCGGCGCGGAGTGCAGTCATCTTAACCGGGAAAGCTTAGACGGCGTCGCCTTGCTCAGAACCCCCGCCCCCCGCATTGCCTGCTATTCTCGTCTGGCATTGGCGCGTCCCGCAGGCTCGGAGCCCGGCGCTTTAGGGCAAGGGTGGCGAGAGCATCCACCCCCTTGGGGCGTCAGGCCAGCAGATCTGAGCAGGCAGGTGCCAGATCTCTGACCCTACCCACTAGTGTGCGTTGGTACAGAGCTCCTGCCCTTGCGTGGTCTGCTTGCTGGGGCTCAGGCTTTTGAACAATCTTTGGTGCTCTGGATCTGTTCCCCGGAGGGGGCTGGAGCTGAGTTCTCTTTAGAACAGAAAGAGCATACCCGAGGGCGCTGTTGTGTAAGCTGGCGCGGTAGGCCAGGAAATTGATGCAACACCTTGGTTCCGACCCCCCACCCCCCTAAGCAACGTTAACTGACTTAATTGGGCAGATCCACTCCGATAGGCGAAACTTTAAAATAGGCTTTTCAGTAAATCTGATACATGAAAATGTGGATCTATAAAATTGGTAAATTGGGGCTAACCACTTTTATAACACATTTCTAAGGAGTTCTTCTGAGGAGCAAGTTTGCTTCCTGTATTTAAAATAAGATATGACTTACACCCAACTCTTCTGGAAAAATATCCTAAAATGGTTATTTTTATTCACTTTAGAAGTACTTGGTGTACCTTTTTTTATGAACATATTGAATGACATTTTACCAAGCACCATGGTAAGCACGTCACTCGTGGGATGATCTCGTTTACCTCCTGCAGCCCTGTGAGGTGGATGCTTGTCTTCAAGTTGCCAACAATAACATGGAAGCTTAGGCAGGTTAAATAATTTCCCAGAACTATAATGACAGCACTGAGAATCCAGTATAGACCTGCCAATGCCAAGAACTTGAACGGCTTCTGAGAATGAAGGGACGCTTGGATCTAAAGATCTATTTTCCAGTCTCCAAAATCTAAACTGGGCCCTATTTACATTTGCCTCCTTGGGTCCAACATTTATAAGCATCTGTGGAGCAAGATTGTCTGGATTTGTCTTCTCTGTGCCCCCGACTTTTCAGACAAGCATCAATTCCCATAAAAGAAAAACAAGCAATAGCTGTATCCCATTAGATTCCTTCATCTCCCTGTTACCACCTGTGCTGAATTCACATTTCATTCATTCAACAGGCCCTGAGCCTATCCCATGGACAGAGAAATGTGTGGGTTACAAGGATTCAGACACAAGACTCATCTTTAAGGAGTTTACGCTAGAGTGGGAGTCTTAGGGGTCCAAATGGAAAGTTGTACATTTGGGAGTAGTGTGGGGTATAAAGGAAAGAATTAGTTAAGACTGAAAAAAAAAGTTCTTGAAATTTCATTATCCTTTAGGTACTACTCTGTTGCTCTTCTCTCTTTTAGCCAACCTGGTACAAGTTCCTGCATTCACCTTGTCTGATCCTCACCTGCCATTCACTCACCACCTCACTGCAATTTGGCCTCTGCCCCCTCCGCCACTCTGCCAAAATTGTTCTTGCCAAAGTTACTGCTGGCTTTCTGGTTGCTAAGTCCATGGAACACACTTAGCCTTATCTTATTTGACCTTTCTGTTGAATTTGGCACTGCTGATTTTGCTCTTTTAAATTTCTTGCTCCTTTGCCTCCATCTCTCTCTCACCTTTTGAAAGTTCCTTCATGGACTGCCTGCCCTACCTATACCCTAGCTGCTTCTTGGAGTTCTATTCTAGCTTACTACTTCCTTATTTTTTCTCTCTCTCTTTTATTGTTAAATCACCAGGTATTTAAATATGCTACTCCTCTTCTGGTGTGATTCAGTTCAGGTAGCTTTCCCCGACACCCTGTCCCTGCCACTCTCCTTTGCCTGGTAAGTAAGTGCTCCTCTCCCACAGATGCCTCTAGAACAGATTAATCAAATTCAAGTGAAATTATCTGTTTACATGTCACATTCCCCCACTAGAGAGTAAGCTTCTTTAAGACAGGGTCTGTGTTTTACCTGTATCTGCAATACCTAGAACAATGTAGCATTCAATGAATCTTTGTTCAGTTGCTCTGAATTAATTGTGAGTCACTTTTGTATTCCAGCATATGGTTGGTGACCAATAAATTTATTATCATCAAACATTTATTATGTGCTTGATTTGTATCAGACATTGGTGCTTGAGATACAAAATACAAAAGAGATTGTGCTTTCCTGTCTTGCTCTCAGGAAAGACATAATATAGCAGGGGAAGTTGAGAAGAATAAGCAAACAGCTGGGTAGTGCTCCTGTGGTCCTAGCTACTCAAGAGGGTGTGGCAACAAGATCACTTGAGGCCAGGAGTTCAAAGCTGTAGTGCACTGTGATCATGCCTGTGAATAGTACTCCAACCTGGGCAACATAGCCAGACCCTGTCTCTTAAAAGAAGATGCTTGTGATAACCCTAAAAAGAAATAAGCAGACAGCACAATGTGTTAGGTGTTACGTTGGAGGTATGTGGCCGATATTTTAGGGACAAGAGAGTGGAGGACTGTACTTGGAAGGGGAAGATGAAGTGAGGAAGGCTTCATAGAAGAATGAAGTCTTAAAGAATGAGTTTTGAGTTCCCAAGATTAATTTGTTGAGTGGGAGGAATTCTAGGCAGAATGAATAAAAATCAGGGAAGTTGGGGACTCTTTTCCTGGTCAAGTTATTTAATTTCTGATCCTTTTTTCCCCATCTGTAAAAATTGGGAATAATACGTACCCAGAGAGGCTGTTGTGAGGATTAGATGAAACATATTTAAAGGTACCTGGCAGCCCCTTCTCACCTGGAAACTGTTGGAGTGACACTTGTATTATCAGTGTTCCGCTGATATTAGGACAGTCAGTTAATCCAACTTGAGGCAGATATTAGCCCTCCAGATGGATTGTCTCCCACCTTCTTCTAACCCTTAACAGCCCCAACCAATATAGAGGGATTCCATTTTAGTCTGAACCTAACAGGGGGCAAGTGACAAAAATGTAACTTGGATTAGTCCAAGTGAAAAGGAAATTTATTGGCTCATGTTACTGAAAAGTCCAAGAGTTAGCCAGTGCATATTCTTTAGTTCAAACTATTCCTGGTCTCTAAAAATCACTTCTGGGGGCCTAGTGGTCTGCAAATGACCAGTACTGGGAACTGGGGAGTTCACAAGTAAAAGGATGTATGGATATTTTAAAGGGTAATTTATCACCATCCTAAGCATCTAAGTTCCCTGTATCATGGGAACTTATGAATAAGCAGGTTTTTAAATCAAGTCACAGGGGTTCTTTTGTCACAGACTGCTTTGCTACTCCATTGTGAAACCTATGGAGCCCCTCTTCTGAAAATAATTTTATTTTTAAGTGAATAAAACAAAAAACAAAGGAAACAAAAATTATATTGAAATATAATTAGCAAAACATTAAAAATCAAATTTGTGATATAGCAAGCTATGTGCTTCTTTATTGACATATTATTAATAAATAATAAAATCAAGGGGTGGGTCTAATGTCTCACTTCAGAGTCGTGATGAGTATAAATGATATTTTGAGACATCTACAATCTCACTATTTTAAGATAACTATAATGTGATATGAAGAGATCTTTGATTTCTATTGATGATAAAGTCCCAGGTAGCAACAGCATTAGTAGTAATAACACTACTGTCACTGTGGCTTACTTCCTACATTGATATTAATAATTGAATAAAATGCTAATTTCAGTTAGACGTTAGGGAAAATAAAAAATTTTTTGGTTTGTTTTGTCTTTCATATTCATGGACCCAGCTGAATTCTACCTGAGGGTGGTCCTAGTGTCCCATTTTAAGAACTCCTGCACTAAACAAATGATCCCCAGTTAGTGTCGGCTGCTGCCTGCACCAAAATCGGCCTCAAATACATGAGCCAGAGATTAAGGGTCTCATGTTCTCAGAACAAACCAGTGGAGCTTTGAGAACTTCGTCTTACAGTGGAGGAACTCTACTATCTCATTAGGAATGAATCACTCTTTTCTGAACTTTCATGAGGCCGTGCTGCAAACACTGGTGAAGGAATATGTTTCTGAGTGTAGTTCACAACATTTACTGAGAAGAAAATGAAGGAACACTGAGCAGTGGGAGGAGGGCAAGAAGGTTTGGGACTCTTAGGTAATTGGTGTTGCGGGAAGCACCTTGCTACCGTTATTTAAAACCTGATAGATACCCTTGGGGCAGGGATGACTTGGCAGAGAAACATCCTTGGGTCCCTTTTTAATATGCTGTCACACCCATGTTTTTGAGCAAGGTTTTTAAAAATTATCATGGGCTTTTGAATGATTGTTCTCCCTTGTTTACTCTTTCTGATTTTGAATCAGCATTGAACGCCAGGATAAGTAAGTATTGTCCTTTTCCATCCAGGAGTATACAGTCCTTGAGGGGGATAAACACAAGACAGACATACACGTACAAAAAACAGAATTAGAAAAAGTGCTGAGTTCGGAGAAGGGAGAGAACATTCTGAATTGGGGAAAGAAGGTGGAACTTATGTCTTGAAGGGTAGATGGTGTGCAACCAGAAAGGATGGGGCCACCTTGCAGGAATGGGGATCAGCAGAAAGAGGTAAGGAAGC